AAAATTTATTTTTTTTCCATTGTTTTTAGATAAATTCTAATGACGATAAGGGTGTGTTAACTGGCCGCTGGGATGGCGAATACAGTGACGGTACCGCGCCAGCTGCTTGGACCGGAAGTGTGCCCATCCTCGAGCAGTTCTGGGAAACTGGCAATGAGGTAAAATATGGTCAATGTTGGGTCTTCGCTGGTGTCGTCACCACAGTGTGTCGTGCTCTGGGAATTCCGTCGAGAGTGGTGTCCAATCTGGTATCGGCCCATGACGCTAATGCTTCGCTATCGGTGGATCGTTACTACGATCTAAATAACGAGGAACTCGAATACGATCCGAACAATCCCATGGGCGAGGACTCCATCTGGAATTATCATGTATGGAACGACGTGTGGATGGCGAGACCAGATCTTCCCAAGGGTTACGGCGGCTGGCAGGCCATCGATGCCACTCCTCAGGAGCAGTCGGAAAACTTTTATCAGTGCGGTCCGGCGTCGGTGGAGGCTATCAAGGAAGGTGCCGTTGGTTACAACTATGATGTGACCTTCATGGTGGCATCCGTAAACGCGGATTTGATGAGATGGAAGGAGGACCCGGAGAGTGATCTGGGATATTCCAAGATTGACTGTAATAAGTACCAGTGAGTATGCAATAGTTTTGGTACCTTTGTTGGAAGTTATACACTTTTGTCGTACTTCTTGAGGAAAAATTTCAAATTATCGTATTTTTAGCCTTAATCGATATTTATGGATCCAGTAGATTTTGTCAATTGCGAGAAATTATTTATATCACAACTTTACATAATTTTAATTTATATAATCTTATAACTCGGATTTTGATTTTTAAAATAAAAAAAAGTCGTTTAATTAAATTGAGTAAAGGTATAATTAAATTAAATAGATATATATCAGTACATTGCATCCACAATAATCAGTTATAAAGGAAATTTCAGAACAAATACCGATTAGGGCTTAGTATATTATAATTACAGATATTAAACATAATTTTATTAAAGTTATATTATATTAGAAATTAAACATTTCTATGAAGTAAAAAAAAAGAAAAAACAATCACGAACCGGTATAGATCTTTTATTAATATTGTTAAAAATATAGTATTATAATATATTGAAAATCATATCATTTACTAAAATATAACGATATTATATATTTTTATTTCAATTCAAATTGCAAATTTTAATTTACGAATTTTATTCAACTAAACTTCTGATTGCTGAATATTACCGAGAGAAGCGATTATTTAATCAACACTCTCGAAAGCACTCATAAAATAATTAACGCCTCTCGAGGTTGTCCCAAAGAACATCTCTCTATGTTTCATCCGATATTTTTTTGTGATGATTTCATTCATCGATAACGCATTTGCTGATCACCGCAAATTCGTTGCGGATGGAAATAGCTATGACAAGCTATGATGCGTGAAATACATAAAAAACATTGAAGTGAACGATGGATGTGTAGTGACGAAAGCGGAAACGCAAACCTTGCGCTATTTGCTCAGCCTGCAACTCTCGATTACATTGTCCTTCGAGGCATCGTAAAGCATGAATTACTATGTACGATGTGTCGCGATTTGCATAATTTCCGCGAGGCATTTCTATGGCAAATATAGATAATGCGAAGCGCAACATAAACATGACAGACTCGACGGTCGATTCGTTGCAACGATAAAGATTATTGTAATAAATTATCTATTATTCCGCACATTATTGTTTCTCATGTCTATCTCGTCATAGGAGTTTCCAACGATAAAAACTCCACTTGTATTCTTATACGTTATCCTTTCTTTATTATTTGCAGTACTAATTAATAATCTATTTTTCGTTAATTATCGTGTCGTTGCATATTTCTTTTCTTCTTGTAAAACAATTGCTAATCCTGAATAATATAAAGATCTAGTCATTACGGCACGTTTTGCGCATATTGAAAATCAAATAATTATCTTCGAATAATTATCTTCACAGCATCGGCCGTATGATTTTAACGAAGGCGCCATGGATCTTTGATCCTAATGGAGATAAAGATAGACAGGATATAACGTCATTTTATAAATCTAAGGAAGGTAAGCGATGCAAGCAAATTACTTTTATTCTGACCATCCAGATTCTATTATGCAATAATAAACGTATGTAAAAATTAAATTAAAAACAGGGCTAATAAGATCGAGTTATATTGTATAAAATAATAAATTAATACATAAAAATGAATTGAACGTTTCGGTTCAAATTTGAGCGATCTTCAACAACAATAAATAGTACGAACAAAAATATATGATTTAAATGATGAAAATTTTGTCTCACGTTTCATTGATATTCTTAATCTGAATTCAGACTTTTGAACTCTTGAGTTTGTACTACTGTACTCTATTGTTAAAGATGGCTCAAATTTGAACCGAAACGTTCAATTTGTTTTTACATATCGATTTATTATTTTATAAATTTATACGATATAACGCTCTGTCGCCCGCGCTTCTTATTAATTAGCTCTGCTTTTAATTTAATTTTATAATTTTATTTCCAAGAGTTTTTGTTTTGTATCTGAAAATTTTCAGTGAAATTTGGCTCGTTTCTTTAACAGTATTAATTAATAATCCATGTTATATTAATTATCGAGATATTTCATGTTTTTCATCCTCTTCTTGGTCAGCCGATTGCAAACTCAATTTAATAATTGACTTCTAGGCACCGAGGTCGAGAGACTGACTCTGTACAGGGCGGTCCGCAGTACCGAGATGGCGAAGAGATTCTACTCGCTGCCATCGCCAGGTAAAGAGGACGTCGAGTTCGATCTTGTCGAGCTCGAACGCGTCAACATCGGCGAGCCATTCGCTGTGACCGTGAACATTAAGAACAAGTCCGACCAGACGCGCACTATTCAGGCTATCTTGTCAGCCGGCAGCGTTTACTACACTGGAGTTAAAGCGAACCTGGTGAAGAGAGCATCCGGTGACTTCGTGCTTCAACCAAATGCCAGTAAGAAAAAGATTCTTTTTTTTTTTTCAAACGCTCGCGGCAAAAGTCGAGTAATGCTACAAGAATGAAATTAACATTAGAAGTAGATAAACAAAAACGGTAGTTTGTTAAAGCGTTGATAATTCTTGAATCGTAATTACTAATTGAAGAATTATGATGAGTTTATATAAGCAAGACCGAATTAATCAAAATACTTTAATGGAATTTTAATTTATTTATAAGGAACTCGATGTTTATAAACATAATCTAATATTAAAATTTGGCATGTAAAATATTAAATTTGCAACATTTAACGCGTTTAATTTCCGCAGCATTAAATGCTAATATTCAATCATTAATGATTGCTTTAGCTTGATTAATTAGCTTGGTTGATTTTATCTCTGGAATTCTTAGATAATGATAATTTATTGGATAATTAGTGAATAAGTGAAAAACCGTGTAACTTTTTATTGCGTTGTTATTTGACGTCTTTGCGCTAATTGTCTCAAATAAACTACGCCGTTTGTAATATGTAATTTACGTTTAGATTATCATTTTCATTTCAATTCATTATAGCGGAACAATTAAGGCTCACGATGACAGTAAACGATTATCTGGACAAGCTGGTGGAGTATTGCATTATGAAGCTATATTGCATCGCCACGGTCAAGGAAACTCGGCAAACTTGGGCGGACGAGGACGATTTTCAAGTTTTAAAACCGAACATCGATGTCAAGGTAAACAAGATAGATTTTTCTTGAAAATATATTTAAATATCTCTTCGTTGGTTTGACGTTATATAAGTTTAAAATTAATTATATTAATTAATTAATTATTCAAATTTATATATATATATAATATATATATATAATTTGTAAATACAGATCCGAATTATTTAAAATTTATCGGACTAATGATTTTTATTCTCAATTTATACCGTAGTCTGTTTAACATTGAACAGCTCGTTAAGCAGATTAAAGTTAAATTCAATTAAATAAAATTTGTTGAATTAATCAAATCTGCAAACAACTAAATGTGTTTAGTTAGTTGAACAAATTTTTTTCTCAATGTACAAATATCTAAAGACTTTTTCTTGCTAAGAAAATTATCTTTGACTATTTTTGATATTATAGATCGAAGGTGAACCAGTAGTTGGACAACCATCGACCATCACATTGAGCTTTAAAAACCCTTTGAAAAAAACTTTGACCAATTGCCAATTCAACTATGCTGGGCCCGGTCTCTCCAGGAACAAGACTTTAACCTTCAGGGACGTCGGGCCCGAGGAAGATGTTTACGTGGAGCATCAGCTCGTGCCGCAAAAACCCGGAGAGCAGAAGATAATCGCCACTTTCACTTCAAAAGAATTGGTCGACATCACCGGTTGCGCAACCGTCGACGTCCTTGAGACCGAATGAATGGCTACGTGACGATTCGAATTCATTTTGACCTTAATTCAAATCAATCGTTATGCTAAGAATGTCAGATGCATTTGGCTGAATCATTTGGTCAACGCGATAACGAAATATTTTAATTTTATTTGGATATTTTACTGAGTAATGCAACGATTTTTGTAAATTTATCTTTTGCAAATAATTTGCATTGATTAATTTCGATTATTTTTTTCAACAATTATTTGTCAATACTATATACAATAATGAGCTAAGGATTTAATTTAATTTCGATAAAAATGAAATGTAATGTAACTAATGAGAAATAGGCATTTCTAATGCACAGGATATGTTGTCGAAATAGTGTGCTGAAATAATATTCAATCTTCTTTTTTATTCAGTATTATAAAAATCCTTTATTACAGTCTTTTACAAAATTTCTTCGTGACTTTAAGATAAAAACTTTTCTACATGCACTTTTTTCTTAATTTTCATAAGTTTATATTTTTATAATGCAAAACGTATAATAAACAAGTACATGTATGTATAATAAATATAACAAAATAAAATTTAACATATACAGAGAATATTTATTGAAACCAAAAAAAAACATCACTTAAACGAACAATAAAATTATATTATCCCGTTTGAATATGTAATGAAAATTACAGGAAGATTATTTCGTCGAATCGCATCGGAACGAATATTGCAAATACCAAAACACTACAGTATAAACAATGCAATAAATAAAAGAAAGCAGATACTCGCGCGATATAAGGGAAGTTTTTTTATTCGCCGCGGGAAGTGCTAAAATTTTATCATTTTTTATTTTTTCCATATCAAAACTTTTTTCCGATTCTAACAGTTCGAGTGCATAATCCTCTTGAGTACGATGCACCAGTTGCATCATCGATTTGACATCTTCAAGATCGGAGCGTTTGTTTAGGATCGATCTCGCTATTGCTCGCTCGTTTTCTGAAAAAACGGCATTTTCTTCTTCTCGTTTCATCCCAACATAATTCCCGTCTTTCGATGATTTCAGAAATTTGGTTCCGCATGTTCGATCGGAACTACTGTCACGCGACGAGCACGTTGAAAATCCGCTGAAATATTCATTATTTACGAAGTGACATATCGCATCGCATTCGGATCTTATCTTATTTTCATTTTCGCGACTTATAAAAGAAGTATATTTCTCGAAACAATTCTGCTCATCGCTGAACTCTGACGTTTCGTAATCTTCAACCTTCTCTTCATTTTGCTTCCCAGATTCTCTTGACATTAAATTTTTGTGGTATATAATAACTGCTTCGTGAAGATTGCGCGCACGCTCTGCTGCAAGCTCAAAAGTTGCAATTACATCGCTCGTTAGATCTTCCACGATTTCCTCGGAAGAGGAAGATGTATCGTAATCGCAGATGGATGATCGAGATTTTTCTGAAAACAGATTATTTATAGAAGTACTACTTACATTGTGGTTGCTGGAACATTTTGTAGATTCTTGTTCTTCATCGATATCAACGTTTGTATTATCGTCAGAATTTTTTAATGATTTAAAAAAAATTCGATATACTTCTTCACGCATAATCTTTTCTATTTCTCCAGCAACATCATTTATCGTGTTTGCTGGAATATCACAATTCTCTAATTTTAATCTCGTATTTAATATTTCCTTGCATTCACTAAGCAGAAGTTCCTTGTTTCTGTTAATATCTTCGTTTTCAACATTAACTTTAATAGACGAAGGCTCAATATGAACATTTGATGTCGATTTATCTTCAATCATGGTTGGTTCCATTTCTGTCAAGTCTGTGGAGCCTATCAGATCGCAGGAAACTCCTACATCGTTACATACGATAACAGGAGTGTTGCATCCAATATCAACTACATTTCTAATATAACTTGGCAATGTTTGCGTTGCAACAATTCGAGTTAAATTTAGAATTTCCATCAGATCTTGATCCTTTTCAGCGTCAATTTCGTGATACGAAGGGGAATCTAATTTCACCTGCGTGCTTATTGATCTCCGAGAATATCTATCTGCTTCATCCAAATTTATATCTTTTGTAGAATGTAGTTTGTCATTCTGCAAAGTGTCGTTATTTGGCGACATTTGCATCTCGTTATTATCGTTTTTCTCGTGATCATTTCTCTTAACATTTTCCTCCGCGTCGTCGTTTTCTCTTACGCTATCAATAATCTTTCTCAATGTGTGGATTACTTCCAAAGTTCTCGATTTTCTATAAGTCAGGGTAGGTTCGGTACGATGTTCTTCGATATTATTCGAAGATTCGTTCGGGATGATCTTTCGCGTTTGACAATGGCGCGATTTCGATTTTGCCAGGGTCGGGTTTGCGTCATCGCATTTATCTAAAACTTTTGAGGCGATCTTGGTCCTCGACCGTTTCTTCTTTGGCAACATCCCTCCGCTTTGCAGCTTTTGCCGCTGTTTCATTTCCCTGTGATAAAATTGTCATGTATACATATGTCATTATTTCAATATCTGATATTATAGGTGCGTTCAGGGAGACGCTATTAGTGCTATTTGTGTCATTCCTTGTTTTACGTTTAATAAACAACGAAGATAGAATGACAGAAATAGCGCTATTAGCGTCTCCCCGAACGCACCATATGGGGCAAAATTTCCCAAGTGTACCCGCGTAAAATTGCGATGTCACCGATCTTTTTGTAACTTTGCTAAATTGTAGTACTAGTCGACCTCTTTAAATCCTGTAAAGGAAATGCCGCTAGTACAAATGGTTGCCAAGATGTAGGGGCTTGAATTTTTAGTTTTTACTCAATGTGTTCTATTTAAAAAAATCATATCTTCTTTCACACCTATCCAAACGAACTTTATAATGAGTGTTTTTTAAAGCTTTTTTCTTGGGCTTTGCAATAAAAAATACTATTTTGCATTAAAAAATTTTTATCATGTATATTTTTTAATTTTAAAAGTATTTTTCAATTTTTCTCATAATGCGACCCTTTTGATTTTTTTGAAACTAAAATAAAAAGAAAGCTTGACTTTTTCTCGTCAAAATCATGTAAGTTGGAATATGGGATGAAAAGAATTGGCGTCGATAAAAAACGTTTTAAGCGCGCGAGTATACCGGGCGCGTGTGGAATGGTCGCGGCGCGGCGCGGCGGTACAACGCCACCAGTTTCCACTTTGATTCCAGAGTCTTGTTTATACGCAATTTTTCTAATTTCTATTTTTCTGTCCCTCCCTTTCTCTACAAAAACATATTAATACGTGAGATTTCGTGGCATTAATTCACGTACGGTAGGTATAAGGTTGAGCGTGAGTGCAAGCTGAAACACATGTGCTCACGTATTTCCGCACTCGGCATTAC